TATAAATACGTTTAAAAATATAAATACGTATATCTCTCTCTCTCTCTCTCTCTCTCTCTCTCTCTCTCTCTCTCTCTCTCCCGTTTTGTACAAATCTATACAAAGTGTTAAAAACATAAGAGTAAGGTAATATTTCTATTAAAGTTGAATAAGAAATAATTCATGTCTTGCATAAGAAAGTTGACAGTGTAAATGCGCTTTCGTTGGAATTTCCGCGGAGTGACCCATTGTATCAGGAACTATTTTAAAGACGACCGTGCAACAAACTCTTGAGTTTGCCTTCTAAGAAATCGCAGGGAGTATTCGAGATCGTAATTTATAGCGCGGAACGCAATCGCTTTATTTCGGCTTGACTAAATTTGCCGCTTCCAACTCGCCTCGTCCGCCAGTTATGTTTACGCGCGGCGGAACTTACAAAACTTAACTGAATTAACTAGTTAACAAGTAGATTATGCACACGACATTTAGCTGCCAACTTCGTTGAGCTCGACAGACTTACAGTTTTCCGTATCAAAGTACGAAGTAACCCGTGGAATTCGCCGTAAATTAGAAGCAAAACTACGTCCTGTTATGCCCGTCTAAAGAGCATAGGGATGTTTGATTAATTTTGCATTAACCTCTGCCGTTAGTATATTCTAATTGAATTCATGACGAGACAAGCTATATTTTGCGTACATGTTATGTACGTTAATTCTGAAGTATGCACGTTGAGGTATTCTTCTATCCCAGAGAAGATTGCCGACATATTTCATTTCACATCTCGTTTCTCTTTAGAAAGATTGAAAAATTGTACTCATCCAGAAGAGACTAGCTTGAAAAACAATATACCTGAATTAAAATATTTATTAAATAAAAAGTATTGCGGAAACATATGAAATTCCTAACTATTGAACGAGAGATATTTTCGTTTCGCGATATAACCAGTGCGTATGTACACTGCACACGTATGTGATTGCAGAGAATATAATTTATTTTACGATTTTATTTAATTATTACCATAGTCGTACCCGTGTTTTATAATACAGGCAGTAGTATAAATCACCAACAATTTCACAATTGCTAACACGCGACGAATTATTATTACGCGCGGCGCAGTGCCCATGAAAAAGCCATCCCTTTATAATATATTGGCTTTACGTATTTTTCATGAAAAATCGAGAATAATTTTCTGAAAATATTCATAAAAGGAAATTCATTATCCCGGTGCGCTATACATAAACAATTATCACAAAGGAAAGATTTTTAATTAAATGCAGTCTCTCAAATTAATTATTTCTTCATTGTTATCATATATTTCATTATTACTTATTTCATTTGACATATTGATTTAATAAAGGTTGTATAATGGATCTGCTATAAATAATCGATAAATCTCGTTTAAATTTTTAATCGTTACATGAGTAAAAAATTCATATCAAATTTTCTAAGGAATACAATCCTTGATACAAATTACTTGGAAATTTTTTCGATGCATCGAACGTGTATTCAATGCGTAATAAATTCAGATCATACAATTGAAATAATCTATAATTCGATGTCTGTTGTTTCCTGTAACGAGAAATCATTTGCTATATAGATGAAATAGCAATTGCGTTTACCATCGAAACAATGCTTTGGATAAACAATAAATGCCTCAATTTTGTGTTTCATTCAAACCAACGCTATAGACGTTATTGCTCATTAACGTGACGCATAAAAGCGGTTTGTTCACTATCAGCGCACACGTAAATTTCGCGATAAATATATCTAACTTGAAATTTTTGCATTTACCGAACGTTAATATAACCGCATCAAAAATCGTACGGGCTTGCAACCAAACATCCCTGTTTATACAGCGAAAACATGTCAATTATTCCCGATTGTATTCTCCAACTTCAAAGAGAGCTGATTACCGTTCCATAAAATCACGTCACATCAATCGCCACATTTATTTTCTTGTCATTTCAATATATTTTGTTAATTTTTTAATTTTTTCAGCTCATGAGAAAGGTCGAAAGAGAGAAAAAGATATTAATAAATAACGAATCACTGCAGTATTAGTTAATTTTCGATTTAATTAATTTAATAATGTAACCACCACCGGATACAAACGTAAATAATCTCATGTATACATAATTGCACATTGCACCGATTGATTTTTTTAATGCACGGTACACAGATTAAAATGCAAAATTCACATTGCGCGATGAAACATTTTACACAACATTTTATATACAATTCTCGTGTGTGTGTGTGTGTATGTGTGTGTTTTAGTTATTTCGTATTAGATATTACGTGTGAATTAGATATTGTTCGGAGTGGATGAGTCTGCCGTTGCGTGCAGACAGAGAAAAAAAAAATCAAATCACGCAGTGTGTCGACGCGCCTGTACGCGAATCGATTTGAAAAGAGCAGCCCGAGGGCAATTTTCCGGGCGTCCCGGGCGAAAAAACCACCGCGTGCGCGTCACAAAGCGTAAAATGTATAGAGCGTGCTGTCATAGAACACTGACACGGCGCTGACGAAATAAGCGGACAGGTGCGGACGACTGGCCGATAACCCGATGACCCGGATACCTTGGATGATATCGATTAACCGTCGAATGTTCGTGCAGCCGCGACCATCAAACGCGTTGGCACCTCGTGTGTGTCACCCCCCCCTTTTCCCTCTAACTCGCTATTTTCTGACCGTCGTCCGTCCCTCGAACTCTATAATACTCGATCTCTTGTATCTCTTGTACTTACCCTCGCCTGTCGCCTCCTCACTCAACCACCCGGCCCGTCCGTCCATCCATCCCTCCGGTACATCCCTTCTCATCCCTGCTGCGCAACAAAATTGGATTTATGGCTTTATTTTCCTCCTTTGCGGACGACGTCTATCAGCAGATTGCTCGCTGAAAGCGCTGCTTCGTATTACGACGACATAATGGACGTCCCGTGCGACCTTCCGCGCTGCAAGCGTAGCGTAATCGAAAAATCCTAAACACAAATACGATAACGGACGCTTTGTTATTTCTCTTTTTTCCTACGTTCGTCTTGTTGAAACGATCCTTCCGAAATTTGAACGATATATTACGTTCTCGGTTCTGATGTAATTACAATCTAAATCCAAAGACTCTCCGCTAAAGCCTGTTAGTTAAAAGATGAAGTCTTGCTTTCTATTCACGTTCACAAAATGTAATTTCTGGAAATCTTCATCTATCACGAAAGTACGAGATCTATTAATATTTCGACATTTCTGCAGGATCGTTTCAGCTCTTGACAAGAATAAATATGTATAAATACGTAAAACGCAGCACGATATTAAAGTCTGTTTTCTAGTCGGTTCTTATATATTTAAGACCGTCTTAGAAGTCTTGGGACACAGATTAGCATCTTAAAACATTGCTTAAGACAGTCTTAAAATAAGAATGAACTATGAATACCAGCCTAAAATAATTATTACTTTGGCACGTCATTCTGAAATATTAGGCGAAATGTTACCCAGCACGCCATTTTGCGATACTGAACCACTGCGTCATGCATTCTTTACGCATTTTCGTGTATTCCGACTTTTGTTTTCTCGTGCCAGACGTACGTTATGCTTGCCTTGTTCAATCACGAAAAGTGGTGAGGGGACGTACTGAACAATGAAACAAATAATAATAATTCAGTAATTTACTTAGCGCTCCGTCGCGTCGTTCAACTACAAGCTGCCCGCCGTCGCGCCGCAATCACTTCGGTCTGAACTGAGGCGTAAAGAGCCGAGCGCGGGCGATCGACCGATCACGTGATCGACCGAAGTTGGCGTCTGCTTGATTCGCGCGCTTTTCTCCTTCCTCACCTGTTGCGTTCGGCGAGATGTGTTGCGTGTGATTGTTTCGATTTTCTTAGAGAAGTACGAAAGTCAGTGACACTTTAACACTTTTCGTCACGAGTCTTGTATTGGCGTTTCGAGTGTATGTGAATGTCTCGTTGTGAGAAGTGCTTACTTTACGCGCGCTTACTTCATCCCGCGTCGCGACATAACCTACAATTTGATGTGGAACCGTCACCGGTGCTAGATATTTCGCAAGGTAAGTCGGAATAAAAGAGCCGTATCATTAATTTTGGAAAAAAGAAACTTGGCTGTTGTCAGTGCTTTTTGTCAAGTGATATTCTTAAAGCAGCCGTGTATTTGTAAAAGGATTAGTAGCAACTTTTATATTTTAATTTCCCATTGAGAGATGTCAAGAATGTCAATTTAAATATGTTTTTTATATTTTTAAATATTTACTGGACATTATTATTTTAAATAAAATGGGAGTAGACTAACGAAATTAAAAAAGAAATAATGTGCATTGTTATTCAGTAGTTACTGTAGTCGTACATATAAAAATCACTCGATATGATCTCTTGATTGAATTTGAGAGATAAATATTACATACTGAAATTTTTACAGTTCATATTGCTCAAGCATGGCAATGCTAAATTATCTTTCTGCTGAACTCACTGCCACTTGCGCTGCAATTGGATATTATGATGGAACTACTTACTATTTAGACAAGAATTGCTTAGGTAAAGATTTACTTTGATTTTATTTTGAAATGACTATTAATGACAATGAATGTTATAAAGTAAGATAAAATATAATATTTGATAATTATAAATTTCTTAATAGAAGTTATAAAGGATCTTATCAGATATCTTAAAAGAGATGACGATACACATACTATAAGACGTTTTCTTGGACAAACGAAATTACTTCAGACAGACCTTGTAAAGATTCTTATACATCACAATAAAAATATTGAACTTTGGGATGTCTTGTTGCGGTACGTGTTAGTGTATAAATAGAGTTAAATATATTGAATATGGATATGGAGCATTATCACTCACAAGTAGAGTTGAAAGAATATATTCAATATATGAAACATTGTAACTCCCATACTTTATGAAAAACATAACTATGTTATTTATCTATTTCTTTTAAACAGATTACTTATTAATTTGACAAGCTCTGCATTTATAATTTACAATGAACAAATACCTACTGAAAAAACAATGCGTAGTTTCTATCAACAAATTGTTACATATTTACAAGAGTATAAGGCAGCGTTAACTGACGAGAATGTGTGGTTGGCAGTAGCTGGTCGTTTGGAGACTTTATTTAATATTGTAAGTGGAGAAATTTTATGTCCTTGTAACAGATTTTATCAGTTTTAAGATAATTTTTATTTTATAGGATAGTAAAGAAAGAGAAGAAGAAAATGAATTGACGATTGAAAGAATTCTTGCTTTTATTAGAAATGTACTGCAAGTGCCACCTAATGACAATGATAAAAGAGCTGATAATGATGCCACTGTTCATGATGAGGTGAATTATGACAACATTCAAATTTTTTATTTTTGAAATTGTTATATCGAATATTGTTTTAAGTGGCATACATAAATTTTGTTCACAGCTATTATTTGCATTTCATGCATCTGGCATAGTGGATATTATATTATTTATTGTCAGTAACAAGAATGAACAACAGTATCACATGCAAATTTTAGAGGTATATACAGCACATTAGTTATATTTATTTACTCTATTTTTATATTTTATTTCAACATAATTCTATAGAAATACTGTTACTTAGAACTTATTGTTTATTATTCGTGAACTTGTTACTCGTAAATAATATTTTCATACTTTGCTAGATTATATCTTTAATGTTACGTGAGCAAAATGCAAGTTTGTTGGCTGCATCTGGGTTGCAACATAACACTGCTGAAAGAGAAAATGACGAGGCTATCCTCGTAGCTTTGCGACAAAAAGAGCTACGTGAAAAAATAGACAAAGTAAAAAAGTACGCTGGGTCAAGGTGAGTTTATATGTATTATTATTTATTAATAAGAAAACTTAAAATTTATTAATAAAATAATGTGAGTAATTAAGTGTCCTATATAATCTATGCGCACAGACAAGTACATGCGATTCTTTGTGTCAAAAGAAACACTTCCACTAAATTACTTTTAAATCGTTTTTAAATGAGAGTAATTTAAAACTGCTTAATAAATATGCTTTAACAATAAGTTACGTATGAATCAGAAACATCACACGCTGGATATATATACGCTGTTTTATTATTTCTTTAAAGATTTGTATAATAATTATGCATGATGTCTGGCACAAAGAATCGCGTTATGTATTTCATGTACGCGAATTCTGGGGTACTATCCTATGTACTATCTATATAACGTTAAAAACAAAATTACGTTCATTTTGCTTGTACTATACAGCTGTATAAATTAAAAAGAACCGAGAAAGAGAGACATATTGTGCAAATTAATTTTTCTAACAAATTTAAAATAATTTCTTTGATATAAAATGATACAAATATAGTTATTTAAGATAAATAGGATTTACATGACGCATATTTACTTAAAAATTCGCTTACTTGAAATAAATTCGTTAGAAATTAATATTACTCGAATTAAAATTGTCTTTTTTTAAATGCGTACTTTTAATTTGACTTATTTGATATGACAATATCTTGTCGTAACAATATCTGTGAGCTTAATTTAGTTCTATTCATACGTTAGCTTTATTATCCGTACGTTTTTACTGTGATACACGGGAGAATGCATTTAATGCGGATAGCTACCGCGTAATTACCACTTTAATGAGCGGCCACAGCTAAAAGCCTGTGATCGTAAAAATGGGATGACTAAAAGGCGCCGATTGCTACTTGACGGATGCCTTTGGGAGTTACCGCGGTGTGTTCGCGATACGATATGCGTATAATGAATATGACCTAGTTTTTAAGATAGGACCACCCGAAGCATGAATAGAAGCTTTTATCCACTTGTTGGAGAGAAGCGAGCCGTATTCTTGTAACGAGCGCGTTCCAGAAGACCGTGGATGCGCGCATCCACGTCTTCACGAAAGGCTTTTTACGAGTTGAAAGGGACTGGATGTGCGGTGAAAAGATCCCTCCGCCTTCCGCGCGTTCTCAATCGATCGATGGAAAGATAATTTGATCGGAAAACGATAAAGCAGCGCCTAGTTGTGTCACGAACACAGATCTCTTTTTGGTAGCAATAGTAAACATAGGAACAAAATTGGATAGCAGCTAGTGTACGTGCTTGCCGCATTTTTATTATTTTATTTATTTTCATTTATTGTGTTCCCACATATTCTCATATATTGTATATACATACACACACACACACACATATATATATATATGTACAATTTCGTACAAGAATTATAAATATTTTATTTGAGATTGCTTTCCTTAAAATCCGTAATGTTTTTATATAGCTAAATGCAAATTTAAAATTATTTTGAATTTTATTTGTGTGACCATGCCATCGATAAACTTTTCGAAAAGTTAGCTATTCGTTTAAAAATATAGGAGAATGATGGACGTGATCTTCTCTCGTGAGAAAAAAAAATAGAAGAAAGTGGATAGGGTTTGCGTCTTCGTCATTTAGGAAACTATCTGTCGTTGACAGCTGCTTTCTATTCTATTGATTGAATCTTCGCTCATGGAATCATGGCTGAAATTGGATTGGAACGATCAGTTCTCTTTTTAGTAGCAAGGAACCACATTATGCTCGCTTCTCAATTCGTGAGTAGAGATGGTAAGGAAGGGAGACGCGAAAGCTAAACAAGAAATCCAATCTGCTTGAATCATATTATTCTTCCGACATTATATATATTGTATTCTATCACACATTACGTTTTAAATTTTAAAAGTTCAGGAATATCTTTTGCTTCATGAATAATTTTAATCTCTGATATTATATTTTTATTCGATTAATTAGACACTCACGATTCGGCGGTACTTACGTCGTGCAAAATATGAAAGCTGTTGGAGAAAATCAAATGATATGCCATAAACCGTATCAAAAGATCGAAGCATTAGAATTTGGTCACGATAAGGTAAATTTTGCAAGTTGATTACTAATTGTAACCTTTCCCTATCTTTCTACTGTTTCCGACAATGTAGAGATAACTTAAAGAGTCCATATTCTTGAAAAATATTTCATACAAAAATATTAAAAAATACTATAATATACGTTACGTATATTACAGATTTTTCTAGTATTTTTGTATGAGATATCTTTCGAGAATATGGCCCCTTATTGTGTGTTATATTCGAGTTTTATTCGAACGAAATTGTCGAGTATGAATAGAAGGCACGTGTCTTTTGCAACAGAAAAGAGTGAAGCGACGCAGAGATAAAATGAGCCTGCAAGACGCCAAGGAAGAGCGCACGTCTGCCCTCAGCGTACGACTCTTTCTAAAAGAATTTTGTGTAGAATTTCTAAGCGGGGCTTACAATCCCGTGATGAAATTCACTCGATCTTGCTTCATCAGTGACCCTCATGGCCAAGCAATGGAAGCAGCTGTCTATCTGTGGGCCTTACGTTTCTTCATGGAGTTCAATCGACATTACAAGTTTCAAGTGAAATATGTAAGGTAAATCTTCGCGCTTTAAGTTTCTCAGCGTAGTCTACATTGTCGCATACCTCGGCTAAAGAGGCAGAAAGCGAGACAGTTTACGAACTCGTTTTACGCATCGTCGCTTTCTTTCGGATCTTGTCTAGAAAGAAAATTATCCAGCGTCCGCGCGAACAGGCTGAACCATCTAACTTTATGTCATAGAATAATTTTTACGACGGTTTCGAATATGGAATTAAATGTCACAGGATGTCTATATTAATATAATATTTTTGAAATGATAAACAATTATTTTTTTATATCAAAAATTTGTTAAAATTTATTTATTTATTGAGCTAGGTCTGTACTGATCCTATACATATATTTACACATTTCTTGATTAAACAATGTATGCATGTTATATAGTTCATATATTTTGTTTACAATTCGTTAGCTGCGATATACGTCAATGTATATAATCCTTCATTTCTGCTGGATCAAATTTTATTGGCAGATTGATTAACTGCGATTTTTGTTACAACCATAAAAATAGAAAAAAATGTTATTTTTATTTTATACATTCTTTGCACGTATTTAAAATTTGAATATTTTGTATTATTAATCGTAAGTTAAAATGAATTATTTTATTTTACTATCTAGCGAAACTATATCTACAGAAGTGTTTTATTTAGTACAAAGACAAATGGAACAATATTACGACATGATAACAGTCGATAAAAAAAAGATACCACTTTGGTCTCGTAGGTTACATTTGGCATTAAAAGCGTATCAGGTAGGAATTGTATGATAATTCGTATTATCTGTGAGTGTTTGGAGAAGCTAACGAAAATACATCTCACGTTTTAGGAACTTCTTAACACTCTTATAGCAATGGATAAGAATAGAGATGATGGTGTTAGGGAATCTAGCAAGATAATTAAAAGCAATATCTTTTATGTTCCGGAATATCGGGAAACTATACTCTCTCAGCTTTTGTGCTTCGATGAAGTTAAAATGTCACGGTGAGTGAATAGAACTTCGTCATCATTATTATTACTGCAAAAATAGATTGTGAACGCCGTATAAATAAATTGTGTAACTTTATCGTCTTGATTACTACAAAAGTAAAAAATTTAAAGTGACTTTAAACATTTTAAAAAGAAATTAATAGAAATTACGAAGGAAAAATATTATTAAAAGGAAAAAAAATTCATCTTATAGTTACGCTTTTTTGATAATTGCTACTCATTCCCTTTTTAATTTGACAGAATAAGTTGCTAATCCCTCGCGAATTTCTCACGAATTTTTATCGGGTTGTAGTGACATAATGCACAAAAAGTTATGCGACGCGTCATCCTACACTGAACAATGCACGTCTCTACCGGGCAAATTCGCGTCATGGAGAGAGGAGAGAGAGAGAAGGGGGAGGGAGAGGGGGGGAGGAGAGAGAGAACTCTTTACCGAAAGTTTTATCTACCGCAGACAGATTGATTCACTTTCGGATCAATCGGTTCGACCAGCCAGGAAGCCACTCTGGCTCCCTCCGATGCTGTTCCTTTTCGACTATTTCTCTTCTTCGGCGGCTGGTCTCGGTAGCTCGCACCCACCCGGTTTCTTCCTCCCTTCTACGGTTCCTCGGCGGAATAAACAACTTTTATCGACCTTCCGGCCGGCCAAATGGGAAAAGGCGGTGGGCGTTCAACTTGCTACGAGTTTGACGGGTTTTGCGCGGATTTCCACGACGGAAATGTAAGGGCGGCGCGACGTACCGCAATGCCACGTTGCTGCTACTTTGACGTTACAGGGACGCTGACGAAAACAGGACGACAGCTCCGTCAAACTTTAGCTTTGATGGCGGTAGCGCGCGTTGCCGGAACTAAATTGACAAATTAATGCGCGAGTAGCAGGATTGAATTAATTTCTTGTCACAAGGACGGAAGGAAAGCGGTTTAAGTTCACCATCAGCTTAAAACAATGTAATTACATGAATACGCTTATCTTTTAGGCAGTACTTAGTGGATCTTATCACAACTATTCATACATTTCTGAAAATGCTTGAATACTACTGTCAGAAAGACCAGCGACATCTCGTAATTCAAAAAACAAAGTTAAAGAGAAAAAAAGCTAAAAAGGGAAAAAGTAAGATTTGTTTTTGTATTGACTGTTTAGAAAAATTAAAAAATAATATTAAATTAAATTTGATATGCGCATAAAATTTAATTTTTTTTAAACCAGAATCCACTCAGGAAAACATAACTACAGCTCCTACTTTGGAAAAACGTTGGGATATTATTGGTCCCGAATTATCTGCTGTTATGCGCGATGCCGTTATACCTGTAGTGATGCCGTTTGACGCAACCTTAGACACGCCTATCGACGATCAAAAGTACGTGTTAGCATTATGATGGAGGGGTTAAATAGAATAATATTTACATATTGAAATGATTGAAAGTATTGTATATACTCTACGGTTTCTTTTTTGTTCTGATTGTAGAGCAGATGCTATGAAGAGAATCCAGAAATTAATGCGACAAAGAAACTTGGAACAGGCAATTGGTCTTCTACGTGCAGCAAGGTAAGAGATTTGTTTATTTTGAGAAGTGATTTCTAGAAAGTAGCTCGTTGTTGTGAAACTCGTGCTGGAACAATGGCAATGTTGTTCATTGTTGTTTATTTTGAGAATCAGTTTTGCACCTAAACCATTGTCATGCAATGCGACGAGTGAGTTACAAAGTAACAACATCTGTGTTACTTTGTTTAATTGAAATACGACAGATTATTGCTTGCATTAAAACATTATATATAATATCTCGTTTGCAATATCGTAATTTATGTTCTAGACGATTAATACATATATGGAATTTTCGGTTTGATTGCGATAAAAAAATCTTTTATTTCCTATTTCTGGATTTTTGCATCGTTTAATTTTTAATTCACGTTATTTTTTAACAATAATATATCAATAGAAATATCTTTGTTTCTTTATCTTTTTATACATTTGCAACGCTTATATTTTTGTGACGGAATTTAACAGTTTTCAATTATAAAAGATATTTTCGAGGTAAGTCAGTTAATTACGGGGATTGTGCGGGCTTTGTTTTGTCAAACAAAGGCGTTCATTATGTTAGGGTTAGAGGGTCAGTAAGAACATGAGATTTATTCACATAAACTTGATGAATTTTGGATCCTTTGAGCCAAGCGTACATAGTGTATACAAAATAACATAAATAAAAATAAAATATAGATAGAATAATATAATAATGATGTAAATACGCGCAATATTAATATACTTTTTGATTACATAACAAAGTTATGGTTCGGTTCATTCTCTTTTCATGTATTCTCTTTTCATTATTTATTTTCTTGAATTATTTATAAGTATATATAAAATCATCCGCTATACTTAATACAAAGTTCGTTATTATTTTTATTAAAAAAATTAATTCTTCAAAAATGTTCTACAAAAAATGGTTGATGAAAAACTTATTCTCTTGTGATTTTCGTTAGACTTGATCATAATTCCTGTAATATATTAATTACGCTTATTGAGCTGTTTGAGATTTTTTCGGCTTTGTGCACCGACCAGTCACACGGCCAATTAACTGGCGAAAAGCCAAGCGTTTGCACTGCCGCAGATATTTACATTACATTAAATCTGAAAGGGATCTACCGCGCTCTTGTAACGCGTCGGTATACACCGGTTCATCGGGGTGAACCGGTACCCAACCAACTCTTTGAAGTGTTCCAGCTCTAAATGTGCCTATGAGTCATGTCCCTCCGTCAACTTGTTTCTGCGTTCTACCTCGCCAACCCTTCTCCCTCCAAGGCTTAATCGCTGCCTCGATGCTTTTCCATGAGATTCGATATACCCTTCGCTGATAAACTCCGTCGACGTGTAAATAGATTCTTTACGCGGCTCGTCTCAAAGCATTTTCGCTTTTACTCTATAAACGCGTACACAGATTGTGTATATCTTAAATTTTCTTTATACAGAATGACTTAGTAAATATCAAAGAATAACGTTTATCATCTAAATTTCACAATCTGATATTACCTTGTCGGTGACATTTAAAAATAACACCGTTGTGCGCTAAGACGTTAGTTTTAACTGAGGGCACCGGATACAAGACGTTGTACCATTAATCTTTAACTTTATTAGTTCTATCAGATTGGAGTGCCGTGATATAACCGCGAGGATAAAAGTCGGTTTTATCGTCGCCGCTTTCCTCTATCATAAAGCTATGAAATTATAGTCCCTTCCGCGATTTTTCTTTACGTGGTATCATCGCTGCGAACTACTTCGGGAGATTGTACGTAATATTCCATCGTCCATTTTATGGGGGTAATGTTTACTATGGCCGGTACACAATGGTAGTCTGCAGGACCATGCCGACCTTGTGCACACAAGGGGATAAAAGTAGCAGACTGTTGACTACGCCGTATATAGACTACGCCTAGGCGCAGACAATATTGTTAATAAGGCATTTACGTTAATACGTAGGTACGTAAGACAAACAGTGTAATACCCTCTATTCTCTTCGCGAACACGTCTTCGTTTCTCGGTTACGGTAGTGCTTCTGGTAATCGTGTTTCGTTTGCCTAGCAAATACTGGCTCGTCTGGCTACTGGTTTTAGCCCTCTAATTTTCCATTTGCGCCGTCTGCGACCCTCTTACTCGTACAGTGATTTTAACTTACGAATTGCGTTAGATGATTACGACTTGCTATGAAAAAAAAATCTGCATCAATTTATCATTTTCTCCTCTTCATATCTAATCGCAGTGCAGTAATGATTTCATTGTTTGCGAAGCACTAGCTTGAAATTTCATTATATATTTTAGAATATTGTGATTAATATGTTGAAGCAAAATTTAGTTTATTCAAAAACATGTATTTTGGAAATACCTGTTTCTAGGATAACTTTGTCTTCTTGTGTACAATTAGGAGAATAATAAAAAAAAGAGAAGAATATCTATAAAAAGAAATCTTGGAGAGACTCCTTAAAGAGAACTTGTCAGAAGTATGATAATGTAAATACATTTAAGAGCTTTTCTGTGACAATTTAATATCCAAGTCCGAAAGCTGATTCATCACTTTGAGTCTTTGCCAAGCATGAAAATGGACGTGTCGAAATTATCTATTTCATGTCTGGCAAAGCGGTATCGGCTTATATGTCGGAACGCTGAGTCGGAGGACGACGACGACGACGATGACGACGACGACGACGACGACGACGACGGGCACGGCGCGGCGCGTCTGAGAGATTCCATTGTCGCGGAACTTCAAATCGAGGGATAATGGGGATTGTATGCTGCTGAATTTCTATTCAGGAAGCCAGCAGCCAGCACCAGCGTCGTACGAGCCACTTCTTCCGCTTCGGGGACAGCACCCTTCCTCTTCTTTTGCGTCCTCTTCCTTTGCGTCAGCTTATTGGATTCATCTCCAGCGGAGAAAATTTCGGAAAGCTTTCGAAGGTGGACCGGGCTCTCTTGACCTGCGAACCTAAAATGCGTTATACAGCGCGACTCGCGATTAATGTATGAAACGATAAGACTGAATTTCTTATCCAAATGGTAGTTATAAAAATTAATGAATATTTTTTATAACTAAGCTTTAATATAATAATGAAAATCGATGATGAGAGAAAATTTATTTTTCTAATTTCAAGTTTTGGTATTACTTAGTCAAAGATAGAAGCTTTAATTATATCACACAGGCTTAATTTAATTTACTATATATTCAATACGACTAAAATGAAAAGAGTCAACTATAGTCGACATTTCATAACGATTTTTATCCTAGATTTTACATTATTTTTAGTGTTTTGTATATGCTAGCTGCGACTCATCTAATGTGCACTGTATGGATTACGTGTTTGCTCGCGTGTAAACGTGGATGGATCATGTCCGGACTTGATTTCAATCCGAGTCGTATATTGTAGAATGTCTAGATGTGTGTCACGTGTATACGCATAAAACGAAACATGTTCTATGTGCATACGTATCCGCGTTAGAATCGCGTCCATACGCTTCGCTTTTATATAGTACAATTGCAACTAAGTGCGATTTCATGTCAAGTGACCAAATCCAATTCTCCGGATTTTAATGCGACTCCGGCTCTATTAGGACGGAGTAAAGTAGAAACGATTTTCATTATCAATCGCGCGATGCTATGACAATGGAAAGAAGAAGAAAAGATTTTATCGCCATTGTTATTTTTACAGCTGAAAGCTATATGATTACAGTGCAAAAGTATTGATAAAAAAATCCATCATCGTAATATTAGGATAATTTTTATTGTATTTTTTATAGTTTGTGATTCCTTGTTTCCTTTCTGTTTGAATATGCAAATATTGAGTTTAATCGCCTATAAAATTAAAATTTTTCATAGTTGTAATCTTTTCACGAAAAAATTTTGCTGAATTATCTAAAAATTTAGCTACATATACAGAGCTGAAAATAATTTTATTGGACCATCCAAATAATTATGTAGAATGAGTGCTAAAGTCAAAATTTTTTTGGAATGTTGCTTATCATGCTTGAGCGTCTATATACAGAGATATTTAAAATATATTGACAAAAAATTTTATGTAATAGATAAGTTAGAAACTGCATAGCAACACAAAGTTCTTTTTTCTATGAGAATAGTTTTTGAAGCTATATATATTTTTCATATATAATTAAAAAATTGTAAACAAATATCTTTAGTATACATTTTAAACGAATGAAGTGATATTTGAGTCATACCGTGTAATGTAAGGTTAAAAGTGTTCCACCATTAGCTACACCTTTCTTCGGGGCGTTCCTGAAAACGTGACTTTACCTTTGTTTCCTAGTCACGTTCATACATGACCATCTGTTTTCTTTTTTCTGAATTCTCATAAAGTATATAGGATGTTTCACATCCAACTAAGCTTTCATATGTCTTGGATGTAATTTTTTTTTAATAAAAGTGTGTAGATGGACCAATATGATTTGTAAACTATGAGGGACTGAAAATAAGTACTGAAACAGTTATATCATACAAAGTAAAATCAAAAACATTTTTTATACAAAAAAATAAAATTATTAAAAGTCTCATTTAGAGAGAATTATATTATTTTTTTTAAGTATACGGAGTCATATTGTTCAATTTTTATGAATTTTGTAGTTAGTGAATTTTGCAAAAATTCTGAATCGCAAACGCATGTCGTGGTAAATTTTTATGATAAATTTAACAAAATTTAAATATATAGATTGGCTTGCTTCTTTGCTATTTTCATCTTCGAAAGTCTTTCTTCTCTCTTACGTGCCTCTTCTCTATTTCCTCGTCCGACGATGGCGGTGGCACTTTCCGCTTTGTGGCCCTAAGATACACAGATACTTTGTAAAGGAGATGCATGTGTGTCAGTATCAACGGTAGCGTAGATAGGTGGGTCGACGAAGAATAAGGGTTGGGTGTGAGCACTTGACGCAAGGAGTCCGATGTTGGTGTAGATCGTGGTGAGGCTCTCATGCTCAAAGGAACCTTCTATGAGACTCATTGAGTTTGCCACTCGGACTTCTCATCGCGTTGCTACTCTGCACTGAATCTTCTTTAGTCGTATAACTTCAGATAATGAAGTTGTTTTATTTGATCACATCAATTTTATTAATAATTTATGAATTCATTATTCCATACATTTATAGGATTAGAAATTTTTTATATTATGATCCATTGGAACTTTCAATGATATCATAATTTAGGAAAAGTGTTACAACTTTTTACAAAGAATTTTGTTTAATTTAAAAAATATGATTTAGTTTTCTAAAAAATTAATGTTTTTTTAATTATTATACATTTTTTAAATATGGTTATAAAATAGTTAATATTTTCGTTTCGCGCGGTCCACAACAAAAAGATTCAGCTATAAATAATTTTTGATATTTAATATATCGAACTTTGCAGTTTTATGAAATATAAAGTTTGTGTAGTTTGTAATAAGTTATATATATATATATATATATGAGAATGTTACATTTCTGAACATTAGAGCTAGTAAACTGTTTATTTAACGTTGGTGTAACGTTACCATGCTATTAAGTTGTTGTTGTTGTTAAGCTTCTCTCATATTATAGTTATTAATATAATTATCAATAATTTATGCAAGGATATTAAAAATAGATGTTCGAATAAAATTATGTTACAGAGAAATCTGGCCCGCGAATAACTGTTTCGGAAAAGTGGACATACTTCCTGAGGAAGAATTTCTAGCTCTTCACGAAATCTTCTTTGCAGATTTGGGCGGTGAGTTATTTTATTTTTAATTTTATATCTTTGATGAACATAAGCACTTCTTAATGCTGTTCTTAAGATCATACAAATAAAATTTGCAACAATATACGTATTAACTGGATAGGAAATAAAACATGTATTGACAATTATTAGCAATTCACTCGTGAAATGGATTTAAAATTTAGTACTTTAAAAGCACAGGTCGTTAACATTTTTTGCTCTCCTGAGGATTGCCAGTACAACTTCAGTCTATCGAGAAACTTATATCCTCTCTACATATATACCCTGTGAGAAAAGAGTAGCTCCTGCTTTACGTCCGCCTAATTATAAAGAGCAAAGTCTGTTATTAAGTTAAAGCATGGAAGTAATGAGCTGTTTTCCTTCCTTTACGAAGGAGAGTTCGTTACGACTGCTGATTTATTGAATTATAAAGTTTACTCAATATTTTGGAAGAAAAACGTGAACGTGCACGCGCGAAAGTGTACTAATAATTGCATTTTTCTATATTTTTTTGTTAAGAAAGCATTACGAGAGAAGAAGGATATATTAAATATACGAATTTATTGGAGGCTTTAGCAGGGACGATTTGTAATAACTGGCGCATATATCACGACACAAATTTAATTAAACGCGCCGTTGATATTCATTTCACGCGCCTAATTTATGTGTGAATAACTACGCTATTTAGTGCTGAGTTTTCGCGACGATTCGAGCTCGCCACGTATTTATCTCTGTTCATTACCACCACAATAATAGCTGCCATAGACATTTAAAATCTTTTAATTTTAATGTTACACTTTTACAAACAAGTGCTTATTTTAATGAAAGAAGATAATTATTGCATTTTAAAACTTCTCTATGTTTTAATTTACAACGTAAATAAATAATTTTATTCTACAAAAATTGCCACTGTTATTCGGATTGAGTCGAATTACGTAAAGCGTGACAGATCGGAGTCTTTTTCATTAAAAAAATTTTGAAGGTAATTTAAGAATTAAAAATTATAAAATTTTTACTGAAATTTGTATAACTAAAATAGAATAGACATCTTATAATATTTCGTTTTAAATTATGTTTCTGAGATTTGTTTGGCTTATAAAAAAAATTGATATAAATCTATTAGATTTATCCGTTACGAATATACTAGTAATGTCTTGTTACACATTACACGTTTGACTTCCTTCCGTCATACGTTTATTCCTCGCTACGAATGTCGGTGTAATAAAGAACGTTTACGATCGCATGAATTACGATCCGTTGCACTGAATTCCACAACTTGTACGATATTACAATACTGTCATGTGCGCCTCATTCTATAAATGGCAGCAGGCTGACAAAGTCGTTAAATGTTAATCTCTCTTTATGTCCTGCCAACGTAATCATTGTGCAGTATTCACCTAGAGGTGTTTTATATAAAACATCAACGCCGACATCCAGACTTTTATTTTACGACGTGAGTACGTCTGAAGCATTATCTCCACCACGCGTCCACACGTCAGAATCGCGTGCGCAATCTTTACTGATTTTAAAATGATTCCTATTGTTTTTTTCTGTCTGTAGAGAAATAATTTTTAAGAAACAGAATAACTCATAAATATCTAATGTTAAATAATTAATTGAAGGTTTATGACGATCATGTTTGAGATTATATATAATCTTGCTAAAGAATAATTTATTTTAAATCTAGTTTTTTTTCTCCCGGAAGTTTTATATTTTTATTTGTATTTCTTATTGAATTTTCAAATGTACGGTCCAGTAAGATTCTTATTGTTTTATATTTTTATTTAATTATTTTTATCCTGTGATACATACTCTCTAAATCTGAATCAGTGGATAGTCACTAATTATCCAGTGGCATACTTGGCATTGATAATCAGTGAAGTTCGACTAAAAAAGAAAAAATATTTGAGCATTATTTGACTAAAATACTGATATTTGCACGTTAATTTCAATCTTCCAATACCATATTCATTGAATTTAACAACTAAAACAAGATTAGTTAGATCACATAATAAAGATTAGCTAGGTTAGGAATCTCACATTTAATTCACTGATTATCAGTGGCATACTTGGCACTGAGATCAGTGATTATTCACTGATTCAGATTTAGAGAGTAAAAATATCGCGTTTGATGTTATAATAATAATCGCATCTATCGGCGATTCGACTTAGTAACCAAAAAAATTAATTGCAGAGAGATAAATGTATTCTGGTGTCTGATACATTGTATGGATTTTAGGAAGCGGAATCAGTCGATCCGAAGCGTTAGCTTCGATTGAAGTGTTTTTCCGCTTGGATTGCATCGGCTTTTTACTTTATGCATCCATATGGCTGTACTTTGCGATTCGGTTATATCCTGATAGTTTTACATACACTGTACATACATAATAGAATATTTGTTTCACATTGATAAAGCACTCCGCAAAAATTGGCGGATGATTCGCAAGACAAGTTTTTCTTAGCTTACTTCGCAGAAAAATATGAGATTCGCCAGAATACATTTAATTTGTATAATACATACACGAAACTGATTAGTTACTACTATCGTAATTCTTTTACCGTTATATCGATTTTGTTTAAAATTATTATTCAAGGGTCGTTATAAAAATTTTCTAAATTCTGCGCGATATATAACTTGGACATTTAGATGCTCTTCGAGTAAACTGTCCCTTGGACTTTTTAATGATTCAAGAAGAAAATAGCTTTACGATAACTTCGCAGAAAGGAGGTCAAAGAGGTCAGATTGAGAGAGGAACAAACGATTATTTGTCATCCGTGACAGGGATACTTCATCAATAGCATTTATAAATAATCGCGATCAATATCGGAAAGGTTTCGTAGCATACCGGAAGGCTTTATTTATTCATGTCTGTCTGCGAGTAGAACGATACTGCTGCCATGTATAAAGTATACGTTTCATCGACTTACACAGTACAAAGTATGAGACTAGAGAACAGAGGAAGATGTGCTGTACTTCGGCACGATTTTTCTCTTCTCTTCGCTTGATTCCAACTTGTTAGACCGAATAGGTGATGGATGCTCGCGTGTAGTCAGCCCATGTGTTCTTTTCACTTCGAAGTCGAAGGTTTGATGAATGAAGGTCGAATTGAAAAGTCTTGGTGGAACGTCTGAAGCGTAGCGACGAAATTTGCATGCTGCGGTCGTACAAGCGAGTCTTCTTTTGTGTCTATTCTATTGGTATACATTTGGTTAACTAACGCATTTCACCAAGGATTTCGAATTTTCTTGTTATGTCTGTATCCTCGAATCTACGATGTTATCGTAGCGAAATTAATGTTTAATGTAAAGATATAAAATGAACTCAACCACGAACATCGCTATTTTATTTATATCTCCGTGAAATGAAATATTACATAAAATCTTTTTCCACTCGTAGGGATGTTCGCGTGATTTTTCCCATATTTCGCAAATATACCGAACACTTAGGTAGCTCCATAGATCTTTTCACTGTCCCTACTCATCGAGTTTGTACTGCCATAATAACTTTCCTTATTTACCGTAATGCGGCAGAAAGTCATCTCTGACATTTCCTGGAAAAGTACCGTGTACCTAAAATACGTAGATTGGAGGCGCCGGATCTTGGCTGCATGTCGAGGAAGAGGAGAAGTGGCTTCGAGAGGTATGAAAGAACTTTTATCGGGGTGGAAACTTCGTCTTCCTTCCGAGCGGTGTGAAGCCATAGGAACGAACGAGAATTATTTAGTACAAGATGCAGGGTAAACAACAGTTGTACTACCAACATTTGTTCCGACTTTTATTCTTTTTCGCGCAACTTTCGAAGCGACCCTCTGACGATTCTCCTCTTTTACGTTTGGTAGAATGAAGATGTTATCGGAAAATATGCATTATTCGCAATCAGCTTGCACTTCGCGTTGTGTTGCGTGCCGATTGTAGGAATTGAAGTTAACAAGCAATAGCGAGATTGGCATTTAGAACATAAGTCCCTTCAGCTCTGAATCCTTTACAGCATACTAAGCTCGATTGATTATTTTGTTATACTTTTTTTCGTATCGTGGAATTATCCTTTTCACTTTGTTATACCGACTTGGGTGAACAATAATCAGATCGACGTTCAGAGGGATTTGAAGCAAAGCGAGGGTTGAAATTTACATCCTGTGCTTGCTCGAGCGATCGCTCTATCATATGTTTGCATTCTCGTTACGTCCTTCCTCTTCCCCGGACATTGGTCCTTGAGGTAATTCCGACAGAATCGCTCGCTACATCCGCTTTCCTCGATCAAATTGTGATGCACTGTATTACACCGTAACCTTGTGCGATTTCAGAACAAACCAACTTACATAATGTTAAATGTCTTGATTTTATACAAGATTTAATGTCTCCAACATAGAATTCTAACTTTCAAAATTAGTACAATAAAATCTACAACTTATCTTTTCGAAGAAAGGTTGAATATAAAAAACTATTTTTTTAATTGCTCAGTATATATCCAGTAAACTTTGTATATCTTTGAGAAAAATCTTGTTTGGATAATCGATCGTATACCATTAAATATTTGTCATATTTATATTTTTATCCAATTTCTATTTACACCTTTTATCACTTTGTGTAATATAAATTTAAAAATGAATATTTCATATACAATTAAAGAATTTTTTGATTGACTTCTTTTGAACAAATACAAACGTTTGTATTCGAGTCATTCAGGTATCGAGTGGAACGTTCAGAGGGTGCTTCAACCCAACATTTAACGGTGTTTCAATATCGAGGAGACGATCGCGGCGCGTTAATGTCTCTTTTTTGTCGTTTTTCCCGATGTCGGTGATACGATAGCCTCTTCCCTAACGACGTATAACCATTAATATGCAAAAGCGGTACTCGACGAGTTCATTCATTTCAGCACGCCTTTCCCTGTTCCTCGTTCTCCCTTTCCCTTTCTTCATTGGCGGTAGATATTTTATCTTCGCTATTCTTGTTCGGGTATACCTTGGGAGATATTCATGTGAAATATATCCGATGGCTTTTCTCTTTCTTCCGGCCTCTAAACCCGTTGTGGGGAGAATCAGCAGTTAAAAAGAAAGAAAGATAACCAAGAGGGTGAATGTTACTCTCG